TAGTTGTGGGAGCAGCTGTTGTAGTTGGAGCAGCTGTGGTGGTGGTTGGAGCAGCTGTGGTAGTTGTGGGTGCAGCTGTTGTGGTTGTTGGAGCAGCTGTGGTAGTTGTGGGTGCAGCTGTTGTGGTTGTTGGAGCAGAAGTGGTGGTGGTTGGAGCAGCTGTTGTGGTGGTTGGAGCAGCTGTGGTAGTTGTGGGTGCAGCTGTTGTAGTTGTGGGAGCAGCTGTTGTAGTTGTGGGTGCAGCTGTTGTAGTTGTGGGAGCAGCTGTTGTAGTTGTGGGTGCAGCTGTTGTGGTTGTTGGAGCAGCTGTGGTAGTTGTGGGTGCAGCTGTTGTGGTTGTTGGAGCAGCTGTGGTGGTGGTTGGAGCAGCTGTTGTGGTTGTTGGAGCAGCTGTGGTAGTTGTGGATTGGCTTGTGGAGATCTCTGGTAGGCTTAAAACTGCCAACATTTCAGTGTTAGTTTAAAAAAGAATTCAGCTATATTAATATATATCAAAATATATAATATATATCAATATATATAAAAATATATCAAAGGATGTTTTCTTTTTTTTACTCACCTGCTAGCAGAAGCATGATGGTGTTTCTTTTAATCATTTTGTCAGTTGTTTTTTGTCTGAAATTAATACAAAATAAGATTTATGGTAAATATCTTCTTTCATATGTCGCTGTTACTTCATTCAGTTGATAATAATTAATAGGGAAAGGAAAAAAAAATCAAAAATCACAATTGAGAAAAGTGTTTCCAGTACCTGCAAACTATATACAACCATTAACAGAAGAACATTTTTTCGTTTTAACTCACAAACAGTTCTACATGGAACTCCATTTCTCCATAAGGGATTATTAAAAATGGGTAAGTTGTCTTTACTTATATTGCGGATACATGGATGGATGGATGGATGGATGGATGGATGGATGGATGGATGGATGGACGGACGGACGGACGGACGGACGGATGGACGGACGGATGGACGGACGGAAAGATGAGTGGACGGACAGACTGATGAATGGATTGTTTCTAAGGTCTCATGACATTCAGTTGCCATCTTACCAAGTGTATCTATTCTTATACTGTTTACATTTGAATTTATTTATCTTGTATCACCCGTTACTCCCCCACCCCAAGAGGAGCTTAGCTGGAACAGAAAGAAATCTGAGGGACAATTTGAAGATAAAACTTCAGAAATGTTTTCTTTCAGGATAGAGAATATAACTGCCTCAAACTGCTAAAAGAAAGTTCAGCCCAAGAAAGGGGATGAGGGGATGGGACTTTAGACTAAGCTGGAGAAAAAAAAAGAAAAGCACAAAGACCTAAATTGCAAGGATTTGCACCTGAATTAAAAATTTACAACAGTTTATTTAACAAAAACTTATCACAGTTCTATGTATGTTAAACTATCTTACAGAATTGAAAGGTTTTCTGAGATAAAAAAAAAAACAGCCATAGAACAATTTAAAAAAGTTCAGCTTTAAAATGTTGGATTTTATTTGTTGAGTATAGTTTATCAGGTATATTTGGTGCTGTTTAAAGTTATTGCAGTAAATTACTCATATCAGAAATACATCAAAAGAGGTACATCTTTACCATGGGAAAAATCTTTGTATCCTTGTTAAAAAATCTGATAAATCTGATCAATATTTAAGTTTAATTAAATTGAGTTCAGAAATACTTTATTCAATCCTCCAAAAAAGAAAATCAACAGATGTAGATTTAAAATCTGTGTAGGTAATCTGCACCTTATATTATTTATACAACAATAAAAAAATAATATTTGATAATTTAACAATATCCAACAAGCTCATCACTGAGTAAAAGAAAATGCTCAACAAATGCATTGCAATTAATTATTCAAAGTTATATGAGTACTTACAGATATCACTTAGGACGCTTAACCCTGTAACTGAAGCTGTGATGTTCAGTGATCTTTTCTGTGTACTGTGTGACTCTTGCTATGTCCCAACGTCTGGTATTACCCTTTCAACCTTAAGGAGCAGGTTATGTGACATTGTTTTGAAAAAAAAAAGAAAGAAAAATCTGAGTAGATAATAAGTAATGTCAGCAATGCTGTATTTGAGGTGTGGTTTCTTCTTTTTATTATTTGGATTTCTTTTCTACAGCAATAGGATTAACTGCATTCCTTTTCTGGATAAATTTGCATAAGGACTAAATCAAGTATGTGTCCTCTGATCTTTTATGATCCTTTCAATTTATACTCATCATTCCCTTAGTAATAGATTTGATTTAAACATCTACAGGCACTGTTGATAATGTAGGAAGCTATTCACTTTTGCCTGCTCCTTTTTTTTGTTTTATGGTAATAATAAACTTTGAGATGTACTTTTCTCATGAAGCTAAGTGACAGCATTCCTTGTTTAGGTTATGAAACCTAAGCTGTTGTTGAGCTTTACTTTACAGAAAGTGAAGCCCAATGAGTAACATATAAACCATGCTTTAATAGCTCTTCAGTGTCACACCTAAAAAAAGTTATTTATATGACTCAGTTGCTCAATTCCAGCAGCTAGATCAGACAGAATATCTGAGGTCACGCCTGTTGAGTCCCACCTACAGTACACAAAGTACACTTTTCTTTGTGCATGTTAACAATGTAATATTGGATGTATAGTCACTCATCGACTGACCAGCTTTATAAGGTACATATTTCCTATTGTTTGATCACAAAAACAACATACCACCCAATTAAAATGGCAGAAAAACGATACATATAGAAACAAACATAGAAACAAACATGAATAACTCGAATGATTAGTTAACTTGTAATTTTAAATGTGCAAATCAAATATTAGGATTAGAATTTGGCATACAAGTCACCAAAGTATGTTGAAATGCCTCTGATATTGATGCTTAGTGCTTCTTACAGCAGGATAATACACCACACTCCAAAGTTCAAATCCCCTAAACCTAAAATCTTTTAAAAAAAAATTTTGAATTTGGTGAGGGAAACTTGACACTATGCAGTTTGTTTACCTAATTTTTGCTCCTATATTTACATCATTTTTATTTCAATCCCTGCTTTGCATTGCTTATTTAGCACTGTTTATTTAGCATATACCTCTTTAGCTTCTGAGATTGCTCCAAGCTATTTAAAACTGACAGCTAAAATTCAGTTGTTGATTCACTCTAAAGACTAACTGCTGATCCCTGGCCATTTTATTGTTGCTTTATCCCCTTCCACCATTAATTCCTCACAATTAACTTTCTTTTATCCATCATATTGCTAATTTCCACCTGTAGAGCTGTTTTCTGCATGACTGTGTACATTTTAAAAACAACTCATGAATACTAGCCTTCCACACCAACAGGTGTGTCTCCTTTCAGTTAATAAGATAATTGTCTCACGAAAACTAATAAAGTAGAGCACATTAGCCTGGTTCTGAAGTTATTACACTTGCTCCATGTAGCTCAGAGGATAGACTTTAAAATCCTTCTGTTAATTAAATGACCAAATAAATCAGCACCAAAAACAACAGATTTGTCCTCAGTGCATCAACCTCTCAAGCCACTCAAGTCTTCAAGTTCCAGCCTACTCTCTACACCAAGAGCTAGAACCAAACAGTTACTGTTGCTATGGGCGAAAGGCAGTGTACACCCCAGACAAGTCGGCAGTCTGTTGCAGTGTTACGGAGAGACACACAGAGGCATACTAGATGCACACAAACACACCCCATTTTGTCTCACTGTCTTTGTGGAGATTTTTCCATGTACTAAAGTCTGAGCCTTACCCTAAACCTAACCATTAGGGATTTATACCTAACCCAAACCTAAACTCAATTTGCACCTTAGTCCCTTAAAATGACCCCTGACTCAGAAACAACAATTCCTCTCATGGGGTCCAGACTTCTGGCCCCACGAGGTGCTTTCGTTCCCCACACCATGCTTTATTTTCAGAAAATGTGCTCAAGAATATATTACAAAACAAAATATGCACATACAATTGTACTTCTATCCAATTAAGACTTTATATTGACTTGCGTTCATTTTAGTTACAGTATGCCTAACCCAGCCATATACCCTAACCATTATCAGTATGTCCCTAACCCTAACCTAAAGTTGTTTCACACCATACCTCTTAACTGACACCTTATAGTGAAAAATGGGGGTCCGCCACATTAGGACCAGCCTTCTATCCCATTAAGACCTGATGGTCCTCATATGGTTAGTAAAAACCAGTCCTAAATAGGTAACAAAAACAAGAGCAACCATTGGTCCCAACAACTATATAAGTCCCCAAAATGTTCCATATTCCAATTTCCTTCAATGGAAATTGTCCCCTCCAGGAAGCAAAATTATTGTCACACACATGCGGTCCAGTTTCAATATTCTGGTGGGTACTTTCCATTGACTTTCATTCACCTACAGCATAACCTCTACCTTAAACCTCACCATTACATGTACATACCTACACTCATAAAAATGACTAATTGGAATAACTCAATTTAATTGAAGGCAGTTTTTCAATCCAATACATTTTTGCTAGCTGAACCAAATCCACATTCATCTGTATGGTGTAATTTTATTGAGTCTGTTAAACACAATTTTTAAAAATACGTTTAAATGGAAATGAATACATACAACATAACTGAATATGTTTGGTTTGTTCAACTTAATAAAATCTAATTATGTTGAGCTATATTAGTCCCTGCAAACTATTGTTTGGCTAACTCATAACAACTAAATAACAAAATGAAAAAGGACAAACTCAACTGTATTTAATGTAAGACCAGAAACAGGTTTTGTTAATGGGTGGATCTTGATCTCAAGATAACTTATGGTGTTTACCCAGTCAACAACTAACTCCACTATCTCTTTTAGATGTATAACTACCTGCCATGCTGGCTCGTTCTCTGAAAAAGTGGTCTGACAATTAGGCCTAAACAAAGTAATCTTAGCAAGGACCAATTTTCATGAGCATTGCAAAGTAACCTAAAATTCTTGAGCTCACTTGAAAGACCGTCCTTGTAAGATCACAAGGTGTTCTTACAGTGAACTCAAGAAATTTAGGTTACTTTGCATCATACATAAAATGTTCATACATATTGTGTTATATCAATTAAGTATTACAAAAAAATTTTGGAACCAATTACTTTAGGTATGTTGAATGATAACCCTAACCAAAACACAAATCTCGCCTTAGTCCTAAACCTAACACATAAGCTCAAAATGGCAATTTCCCCCAAGGAAAATTACCTGGCGGATGTCCCGATGAGGGTGGTCATCCCCACGATGTAGTGTTTTATAAAAAAAATAATAATAATCCAACCTTTAGGAAAAACAAGTTCACGTACACCTAAGAACAATTTAGAGTTGGCCTTTTATTTAACAGTCATGTTTTTGAACTGTTGGAGGAAGCCAGAGTATCAAGAGAAAACCAATATATGTACAGGGACAACATGCCAGCTCTATGCAGAAACATCCTACAGTAGGCCAGGAATCAACCCCAGGACCTTCAGTGCTACACACTTCTACACTGTGCAGCCTTCTAGCATTTAATTTTACTTTTAAAGGCCTCCTTGGGGATCTGATAACTACTAATCAATTCCTAATCTCAGCAAATGCTCTGTCTTTTGTACATTCCAGAGCACTTGGTGTATAAAGTTATCTTTGCCCAAATAAATTAAACATTTTAACGTGTTGATTTAAATAGAGGTAATAAAAGCTTTTTGTCAGGTAGTGGTCAACTGACCACAGGAATCGCCCTTAAATAGAGGTTCAATGATGCTCAGATATTGTTACTTCCTATCACAACCTGTGGTTCCTTAACTTCGGGTCAGTTCTATTTCTTTAGGCACCATGAGAACCACTTCTTCTTACTCTCACAACCTTACTGTCTGGTTTCGTATCCTCAGGTAAAACATCACTTTTAGTTCACATTTCTGTGTCTAGGCTGTTACTCTCCAAGCCTCTAATTAGCTACTGTGTGGTTGGGTCTCATCTTCGGCACGCAATAACTGGTCATTGCTGCCTCAGTGCTCTTCTGTTAAGCATTTTGGCTGTTTCTGTCCTCATCAGTCTGAGTAGAAAAGTCCAACTACATATAAAATGGCTGCACAGCTATCAATCTTTGCAGTCCTGAACCTGAGCCAACCCACTTGATCCAAGAGGCTTAGGGCCATTGCCTATTATCTTCCATTTGTGTGTTTTTTTTTTGTTTTTTTTTTAAGAAAACAATTTGATTACCTAGAAAGAGACATGAAAAGTCATGACAGGTTTTGCCTTATCTATCAATTTAATCATATGTTTGTAATAATTTCTTTGTTTCTTTTTTTCTTTTTACTGCCCACATATGTATTTTCATCAAGCATAGACAATTTTCTTTTTTCTTTTTATTACTTGGTCAAAGTTAAATTTTTTTGTTTTAATCTCTTATACAAGTTGTAGATTGCAATTACTATAACAAAAGGAAAAAAGAAAGAGTCCCTCTAAGCATATTAACAGTGCATCTACTTAAAGAACAATAAGCTTTACTATTATGTAAATTTGTCACTGTAATTTAGTGGTGTTGTTTGAAGTTTTAGTTGAAGTTATTTTTTATTCCCACCGTTGCTAAGATCACAGAGGTATTACTGCTGACCTTTAAACATTGGCTTGTAATGTAACCACCAAAACACACCCAGTGCTTGACAATGTTCTTGCTTCGTGAGAATTGCCTCAGCCAACCTTGTATTGTTGCAAAGTATTTGCAGACACACGTCAATAAAGACTCTGATCACGGAACCTCCCAAGTTTACAAAGGATTCCTCAGAGGGTTAGTTATTGCTGATCTGTTGCTATTCCTGATTTTCACCTTGTTTCTATTTCAAGAAAAGGCTCTTAGGCTGTGTTTAAAACTCATAACTTATCTATGGTCAAATGACCTAGAAATATTCTTGCAAGGAGCTTTAAGTTTAACTGGAAAAAAACTTTTTTGTTTGCGGTTTTAAAATGACAAACCTC